TAAGCAAGGAATTATAAACGGGGTGTGGTGGTACATGCTTCTAATCCCAGCACTCAGGAGGCTGAGGCAGGTGGAGTTTGAGGCTACATAGGGACTCTCTCTCAAACAATCAAAAAACAAAAACAAAACAAATAAAAAGAGAAATAAATTATATAATTATAACTGGTAAATTTACTGTAGCTGTCATTGTATAAGAAAAATAGACACTGATCAGAGCCGGGTGCCAGTGGCTCACGCTTGTAATCCTAGCTACTCAGGAGGCAGAGATCAGGAGGATTGGTGTTCCAATCCAGCCAGGGCAAATAGTTCATGAGACCTTATCTTGAAAATATCCAACACATACCAAAAAAGCAGGGGCTGGTGGAGTGGCTCAAGCAGTAGAGAACCTGCCTAGTGAGGTCCTGAGTTCAAAACTCCATACTGTCAAACAAAGAAAAATAAACACTGATAAGTATTTCTGGAAAATATAGGAAACTTTGGCATGGTCTTTTCTCTGTATGTCCATTCCTGACATACCTCTGTGTCCCTAGGAAGGATGTGTAGGAATGGGGTCAGGAAGTTGAGGAGGGGGAGTCACAGCATTTGGTGTCTCTTTGGCCAGCCCCATATCACAGGCTACCCTCAAGGCATGAGAGAAGTGTGCAGTCTTGGCTCACAACTTAAGCAAAACAAGTTCTAGATGAGCTTCTGAGAAAGATCAACCGGGCAAGTGGGAGTAGAATTTCAAATGACCATGGTTATTTTCTAACTGGTTCTTTCCTACTAAAGAGGAGCCAAGAAATGTGTGTATCTTGGAGGATGATTCTGACATGATATTGGGCCACCTGATAAGGAGGGAGCAGAGTTAACTGTCAGGCTGGGGATGTGTGGATCTCCAACGTTCATTAAATTCCAGGGCAATGTCCAGTTCTTACCTGCAGATGGCAGCACCACAACTCACAGAAAACAAAATTAGAAACCCTTTCTGGCGACTAAAAATAGCGGCAAACCCCAAGGGGAAAAAGAAACTTTTTGGTGATTAATTTGCATTCTGAAGTGACTAATGTGGTCAGTTTGTAACTAACAAGTTTTGCTACAGTTACAACAGGTTTTCATACCAGGATGTGACCTCTATTTACTCACCCACAATTGCACCATTTCAACACTGTTACTTTTTGTTACTTTTGAATTATTGTTACTTTTAAATGTTCCAAGTCTGGTCTGTAGGCATATATTTTTACAGGGACACACTTAGAATCTTTCTCTATGAAGGCTGCATTTGCAAAGGAAGTACATGAGTCTTTTTGTCTTTTCTCTTAGGCATCTACTCTTTTCTGAGATATCACCCACTTCCTTAGCTTTAAATATCGCCATTGCACAGAAAAGGAACCACATTTTTTCTCAGGTCAGCCTGAGATAAAATTATTTATTCATCCATTCACTTATTCACTTCATGCATTGTGCTGAGTACTGAGAAAACAAATGTGTCTGTTCTGGAACTTGAAGACTATTGTGGGGTCAATGAGATAAGAGTTATAATGGGAATTTTGTCCCCTAACACTGACTTGGGGAACCTAAACATATAGGAGAAAGTCAACTGAGTAGAGGAAATTGCACGTACACAGATACGGACATTCAAAAGATCATGCAGCTTCCGGAAACCACAAGTGGTTTACTATTGGTGGAGTTCGTGTTCAGTAAAAAGTAAGCGGGTAGGGCTGGCAGGCGAGGGCTTTTCTTGAAGGGCTTTGCAACAGACTTGAGACATTATCTTGTAGATGATAAATATCTTAGTTCCAATTGATTTTCCACTCTGCAGCCATAGTGATAAAGTATTTTGAAGATGAAATCAGACTGTGGCCCAACCTTGCTTCATTTCAGTATCCCATAAAATTGACTCCCATGAGCCTCTCCAACTGCCTAACCCACATGCCACATGCTTTGTCCTAGAACACTCTTCTCAGGCTACAAGGGCCCCAGCCTAAACCTCATGTCCTCTGTCTTCCTTGATCCTGGAAGAGGTCAATTTCACTGCTGTGTGCTCCCAAAGCAACCAGTACAGACCCTATCATATTCTAAAAGTTATGTCTTCTGCTTTGGATGGCAAACTCTGGGAAGAGCTGTCCTGCATGCTGCAGGGAGGGAATGAATGAACAATGAATGAACACAATGAGCTTTTCAACAGCATACTGGACACTTCTACCTCCCAGAGTATTGAGTTGTATTCCCCCAAACAGGGTCATGGTCATGTCCTCACCTTCCCCTTCCCCCTTCTCCATACCTCCCACCTCTACTCAGCTGCTACTTCTCTTTCTTCGCCTCCATGTGCCCTTTTTTTGCAGCAAAATGCCCAATGTAGAATATACTGACAAATATCTGGTTGGCAACAGAAGAGCTAGGGCTTAAGTACCAATGGGAGACATGGTACTTCTTTTCTTTTGTTTTCTTTCTTACTTTTTTTTTTTTTTTTGAGACAGAGTCTCTCTCTACCTACCACAGGTTGGCCTCAAATTCACTAAGTAGTCCTGACTGGCCTCAAACTCTAGATCCTTCTGCTTCAACCTCCCAAATGCTGGAATTATAGGCATGCACCAGTAATTCCACACCCAACTAAATGAACACATGATGTCATTTTGGATTTTTTCCTGGTGCTGGGGATAGAATCCAGGGCATCACACATGCTAGGCAAGCACTTTACCACTGAACCACATCCCAAGTCTTCCCCCCACCCCTTTTGTTTTAAATAAATCCTTAAAAACAACTTGGGTCCTACAAAGACCCAAGGTCTACATGGTAGAGTTGCTCCACCTGTGGACCTGCAATGACCTTATATCCTCCACGCCTCCAGTAATTGATATATGTAACCTGAGTGTCAGTGACTGTACACAATCACAATAAGTCCCTTTTCTAGGAACTTCCCCAGCTAGATCTAGCCAGGACATGATCTAGCCAGGACAAAGATTTCTTAGCCAGGACATGTTCTAGCCAGGACAAAGATTTCTTGAAAGTTGAAGGTCCAAAGAATTAAGTATTATATTTAATTCCCAAACTACTTCTCTTGCATGACAAACTTCTGTGTTCTCCATGATACCCAGGCCTACTCAAAGCTAACAACTACAACTGTCCCTCGCCTCCTCTCCCACCTCTCCAGCTAAGTCCTTCCCTTTCTTTTTTCTTTTTCTTTTTTTCCTGTCCACCATTCTACAACAAAGTGTCATAGAAAAAATGGGGCTTTTAGAAAAAGATAGGCCTGGATTCAAATCTTGGGTCTATTATATTTTGGTTTCCTTATTAACCTCTCTAAGTCTCATATTTTGAGCCTGTAAAACAGGGGATATTAGCTGTGGGGACTCTATGACTTTAGTGTGGCTCAAGGGGTAAGCAGAGGATCCTCTTGTCATTGTCACCTTGTGTGAGACATCTTCTGCTCAATAACCTTCCAGGTTGCACATCAGTTAACAATGAAACCTGAGTTGTGCACTCTGGCCTCCATTCTCATTACTCCCCCAAATCCTGAGCTCTGCCCAATCTGAAATACTGACAGATTCCATCTCTCTTCTCCCTGTTTTCACATGGCAGCTCAAACCACATCCTTCCTGATTACTTCAGCACCAAGTAATGTCTCCCCTCCTCTATGGCCCACCGGTCCTATATGTAATTCAGTGCCAATCAGGGCCAACTTCTTTTCTTTCAGACTAGGCAACTCTAGATTACAAACTGCCAGAAGTAGAGGCCTTGTCTGGTTCATCTTTTACCCTGGAGGGCACCTCAAATGCAGTTGATGTCCAGTGAACACTTGGTGACAGAACAATTCGTTTTCCTTATTTCAGCAGGCTTATTTTCTCTATAGTATCAGATGTGTGGTTATCCTCATCTCAACACTATTTTTCTTGGCTTCCAGAGAGCATATTAACATTAAATGTGTTCTGTTCTCTCCTTTTATTGGAAAGAGCTTTTGGAACTGAAAAATAAGAATAAGTTACTTCTCCAAGTCTCATCTTCTGCCACTCCCCCGTTCTCAGAGGTTTCACACAGGAACTGAACTACTTAGCATTGCACAGAACACGACTTTCTAACGCCTCCGTGCCTCTGTGCTAACATGCCATTCCTTCTGCCTGATATGCCCTTAATCGGACTGCTCTGCTATGGAACTCCTACTTATCCTCCAAGACTCAGCTCCACATTACCTTCTCTGTGAAGGCTTTTCTGCATTGGGCAGAGGAGTGACCCCTCAGCCTTTTTCTTTTCTTTTCTTTTGGCTTCCTCAGCATTCCCCAAGTAGTTATATCAGTACTAGAACATTACTATTATTATTGTTGTTATTATTATTATTACTTTTCTATTACTTCTCCAGACAGTGAATTGCTTGAGGGCCTGGACATCTTTCTTTCTCTCTTTGGTTGTACTGGGGTTTGAACTCAGGGCCTCACACTTGCTACGCAGGTGCTTGAGCCACTTCGCCAGCCCGTGGGCCTAGATTTCTATTCGTCGTTTTATCTTCTATACCTACCACAATGCTTATATATTTTTGGCATATGTCAAAGACCGAAGGAAAGAATCCACTAATCCACTCAATACTGCAATTTGTGGGAACTAGTCTCACAAACAGTTCAAGATCAGGTCCGGTATTTGGAGTGTGTTGTTTTAAAGGAAATCTCTACTCTTTCCTTTCTATGGCTTGGGTTTAGTAGAAAGGGAAAGGAAAAGCGATTAGCGTTGGAACGTGTTACTCCTTCGGGGTACAGGTGCAATTTACCTGCCCTAGCACGGAGAGGGTTACTGCGACTCGAGGGCTGGGGGTGCTGGGGTCACCTGCCGCGAGATGGCCTTGCGCATGCGCCCTGACAACCAGTTGCTCTACCTGCCGGGGCGGGGCTGAGGAGGAGCGCTTGCGCTCTAGGCCTTTTCCGCCCGGGGAAGTCTCGCGGGGGCGGGGCGGGGCGGGGCGCGGTGGGGCGGGGCCTCGTGGGGGAAGTTCTCGCGGGACCCGGACGAGGAGCGGAAGCGAGGAGGCAGTGCTGCTTCGGCGACCGGGCGGCGGCAGCGGCAGTGACTGGGGCTGAGGCGCCCACAGGGGCAGTAGCTACACTTGGGGAGCTGCCGTGGGGTCGGTGGCCGCTCGCAGCGCGGCGGAGGGGCGGGTCCGACGAGGAGCGGACAGCTGCGCCACGGTGAGTGCGGGCGGCGGCGCTCGGGCTGCTCGCTTTGCTTCTTCCTCCCGGCTCGGCAGTGGGGAGAACGGGCCTAGCCTGCCCAGAGCTGCCGGGGTGGCCCGGGGTTCAGGGATCATGCTGATGAGGCTCCGGATCAGGAATGGCGAGGTCACTGGACTTCGACTCCACGTTTCCCCTTTTGGGGCGCTTCCTTCCTGGGGACGATTTTCCTCTGGCTCTGGGCTCCGATCAGACTCCCTTGATGAGGACCTTTGGCCCAGTGGTCAGGGTTTGCGCAGAAGGGGCCCCGGAGCATCCGACAGGCTCAGAGCACTAATTCTGTGAGTCAGGCTGACTTAGCCCGGGAGGCGGGGGATTCGGTGCAGGCTGCAAACGTGATTGATGCTCCTTCGACCTGCACGGCAACCACGTCACCATTTCTTGGCGTCTGTGGGCCGAATTTTGTGCGGGAATCCACCGGGAGTCAGAACGCTTGCTACTGGAGTCCGTAGAGAACCCCTTAGGCTGGTGTTTTTCTTTTTATACTACTTGAAAAATATTTGTCGAGAGAAACAAGCAGTAGCAGCAGGTTGGAGTACTGACTGGTAATGCTTCTTTGCAACGCTCTTCTTAACACGTACGTGACTGTAAGCCTGTAAGCCGGGGGAAGTTACCGGATTGTTTAGAAAGTGGTTCTGGGTTTGCTTCGAATGCTGTAAAAGTGCGGTTTGCAGAGGAGCTGAAGGGCACTCTTAAATCCATCTTTTGTTACTTTTGACGCGCAGGAAAGAATCAAAAAGACGCGAGAGAAACTCTCCATTTAGGCTTTCTTACCCCCTTTCACTTTGTACTTCTGTTATTCCTTCCCTTTCTGTCTCCTGTCCATTCCACTAGAGATACGAAATGCTTGCTTTTGTAACGCTAATCATTTGCCCTTTCCCCCCTCTGCTTTTTTTTTTTTTCCCCCTAATCTACTTCCCCTTCTTGCTGTCCCCTCGTTCCCTCTCAGGCATAATTTTCGAAATTTCTGCCTTTTTGGCGTTGCTGACTTTCTTCCTCATTTCAAGATTCTGTTTTCTTTCTCGGGAAGATACACTCTTCCCTGTTTTCATTCGTTTACTTTTAAGCTTCCACTGTGTTCCCTCAGCCAGCCAGAAGGCTTGGTAGGGAGCCATGTGAACATTAAGTTCTCTCCCTGGGAGCTGGGAGGCTCAAACGATTGAATTCATCCATAAGTAGTCAATACTGCTACGAGGTTGCAAGTGTATCTTGCTGATGTTATTTGTCTTTTAGTTTTTTCTTTAAGATCACGTTTGTTTGTTTGTTTGGTGCTTATATGACTTCCTTCTGTCTTTTAGTATATGTGGTTAATGTTGAAAATTGAAAAATTAACTATAGACCTATACGTGTTAAAATAGTCTGAAAAATTTAAGGCACTAGAACTTATTTTGATCATTGATGAATTAGTTAAAGTCTGCCCGTTGTAACTACTAATTTATTCCTTATCAGGCAATTTCTTTGTTTTTGTTTTCTGTTTGTGTTTATTAGTGATCTTTTTCTACATGTGTTATAATAGCATTCTTCTTTGGGTGCTGGGGATTAAACCTAGGGCTTTGTGCATGCTGGTTTTGAGCACTAACAATAAGCTACATCCCCAGTCCCTGTTCTTCTTTTTTTTTTTTTTTAAAAGACGGGCATCATGCTAAGTAACCCAGGCTGGCTCTGAACTCTCCTCCTGCCTCAGCCTCTCAGGAGTGCTGAGATTACAAATGTGTGCCAACACACCTGGCTTAGAGGGATCTTTTTAAAATTAGATTCTGGCAGAACTGCAGCAGGCATGCCACAGTGATTCATTCTCTGAATAAAGTGATTTTGAAGCAGAAGGTTCAGGGACCAAAAAAACTATTATATATAGTATGCATTCAAACTTTTAAAACTGGTGTGGGCTTTAAATTACTCCATTTAAAATGATGCTTTCTGCATATTTAAACTTAAGGCATGATTGATTCTTATATGTAACTTTTGGAGCAGGGTTTGAATTGTGATGTGGAGTGATTTAACTTTTAAGTTTATGCTGTTTTTTGGGAGGAGGAGTGCTGCTGCCTTTTACATTACAATTAAGTGCTTTACCACTGTACTACATCCCCAGCCCCAGTTTATACTTAATAGGGCTGTCCATTTGCCTACCAGAGAGTTCTTTGGAGTCCATGTATGTAGATGTAAGTTCTAGATTTACTCCCACAACATATAGACTGATATTTGAAAAGGGATTGGTGATGTTAGTTAATATCTCTTTCTGCCAGAGACTCTGCCAAGCCATTTTTAGACTCTATCACCAAAATAACTGTATAAGGTAGATGCTGGTATTATTCCTATTTTCCAGTTGAGGGATACTAAGGATTAAAGAAGAGACGTTATTTCTCCAGCTGGGCTCAGTGACTCATGAATGTGATTACAGTTACTTGGGAGGCAGAGATCTGGAGGATCAAGGTTTGAGGTCGCTCAGACAAAAAGCTCCTATCTCAACCAATAAGCTGGATGTGGTGGCCTGGGCCTGTCATCCCAGCTACATGGGAGGGAAGTATAAGAGGACCTTGGTCCAAGCCTAGGGTGTAGGGGATCAAGACCCTATTTGACAAATTACTAAAGCAAAACAGGTGGCTGGTGTGTCTTGAGAGGTAGAGCACCTGCCTAGTAAGTGTGAGGCCCTGAGTTCAAATCCCTTATCTCACACACACACACACACACACACACACACACATACATACATATACACAACCCACATTACTTCTCTAGTGCCATTCACTTAGTTTGTGAGTGGTAAAACTACAGTTGAATCCAGGTCTAATTCCAGAGCATCAGTAGGCTTTTGGTTCTTTTATAGTTCTTTCTAACCACAAAAGTAATAAATGCTTACTGTAAAAAACAGGACCTAATTTAGGTGTATTGCACAGAAAGTAAAAGTATTCTGTGGTCTCACTCCTAGAGATAACAATTATTAGCTTTCTGAATTGTTTTTGCATATGATATTTTGCTTTACAGAAATAGGACTAACCATAATTTTTCTGTGTGTTTTTTAAAAAAACTTGATAATGTCTTACTACTTAGATAGAAAGAGATATCCCTAGATTAACTCATGGATATTGGTCATGTGTATATATTTTGATATTTTGTACGTTGTCTTTTGTGAGATAAACCTGGGAAGAGGAGTTGTTTAATCAAGGTTTTGTTTTGTTTTGTTTTTTTGTGGTACTAGGGTTTGAACTCAGGGCTTCACACTTGAAAAGCAGGCACTGTACTGCTTGAGCCACACCTCCAGTCTATTTTGCTTTTTTTTTTTTTCTTTCAGTACCAGGGATCAAACCAGGGTCTTGTACATGTTAGGCAAACATTTCACCACTGAGCCCTGTCCTGGTTATTTTGGAATGGGTCTCACGGAACTCTTTTGCCTGGGTTGGCCTTGAACTGAAATCCTCCCGATCTCAGCCTCCCAAGTACCTAGGATTGCTGAGCCACAAGCAAGGGTATATATTTTTAAATTGTCAATAGATATTACCAAATTACTCTTCAAAAATACTGAGTTAATTAATTCCCAGCTAGACTGTGGACTCTGTGACCATATATCAACCCGCACTTCTGGCAGATGGTAACTGCTCACAATTGAATGAGTGAATATCCAGTAGTTAAAGAGTCTTTATCCAAAGTACTGCAGAGATTGGATATTATAAAACCTTTTAAAACTTGCCAAATAGAGGGCTGGCAGAGTGGCTTAAGTGATAGAATGCCTGCCTAGCAAGTGTGAGGCCCTGAGTTCAAACCCTAGTACCACCAAAAAAACTTGCCAATTAGTACATGAAAGAACTCTTACTGCTTTAATTTGCATATCTTTTTTTATGTAGTTTAAGTAGAGTAACATTTTTAACTTATTTGAGTGACTTTACATGCCAGGCTTTGTTCAAAGCACCTCACATATATTGTTATCTAATTTAATGTTCAGTGAATTTATGTGGTAGCTATTATCCCATTTGACAGATCAGAAAAGTGGGGCTTATTTATTTATTATTATTATTTTGTCTTTTCTTTTTTTGATGCTGGAGATCCAACCCAGGGCCTCGCACATGCTAGGCAAGTGCTCTACCACTGAGCTACATCCCAGCCCGAAGTGGGGCTTATTTAAAAGGCTTGCTCAAGTTATATCTGTAATCATCTGAGTCATTATTTGAATGAATGGCATTTAGTCTGCCTATACAGTGTCAACACTAAGCTATTGCTGGTCCAGGGTTATGTATTTTATTTTTTGTGATTGGGGAAAGAAGAGAATTAAGTGGAAGAAAGAGAATGCTGCATTTTCAGTGTCCTTGAACAATTAAAATTAGCCTTTCTTAAAATTCGATGCATGTGATGAGCTATAGAGATGTGTACTAACAATTTAGAAATACTCACCAGGTGGCAGTGTTAACTGCAGTGCCAGTTCATTTTCTTGGGGGAAAACAGCAACTTCTACTCTGTTCAAATCATTGTGCAGAGGCTGGAGCTGTGGCTCAAGCTACAGCACATACTTAGCATGAACAAGGCCCTGAGTTCAATTCCTAGGACCAAAGAAATGAAAGAAAAATCACTGTACACTGTGTCTGCTTTCAGTCTTCTTCTTTTTAGTGATTAGTGTTGAGATGGGATAGTTTTTTCTATCTTAAGTAGAAGATTTGAATGCCTGCCTAATAAGCTGACCTCTAGGTTTTCTAAATGAGATGCTAATTTTTATTTGTCACAGCCTTGGAGATACTGCTTTAATTTTCTAGCAGACTGTATCTCACAAAGCCATAGTTGAGTGATTACTGGAATAGTTAAAAGTTTACCGTTTTAATCTTTTAAAGCTTGTGCTCTGGGATCTGGCAGATGAGTAGCAGCAGGAAAATGGTTTATGCTTCTGCTGTTCAGTTTTCATGCAGATTTCTTAAATCCTGAGTGATATAAAGTTTATGTCCTTTTACTTGTATCTTTTACAAATGATAATGTACTTTGACAGTGACAGTATTTGGGTTTCTATCTGATTTCTGTTTTTCAAGAATAAAACCCGTATTTTTTTTTTTTTTTTTTTAGATCTCTTCTTTAGCTTTTCATCAATGATATGTAGTCTCAACAGTCAGTCCTAGAGACCAGTTAAAATAGGCTGTGGAAGATAGCTTGTAGCAGACATTTGGAAGCATTGGTTAGAAAAAAAAAAAAGTAAAAATACATACATTGGAAACCAGGCAAGCTGGCGGAATGACTCAAGTGGTAGAGCACCTGCCTAGTAAGTGTGAGAGGCTCTGAATTCAAACCAAAAAAAAAGGTTTCTGGAAACCAGGCAAGTGTGTGGGGGGAAAATAGCAAGCACTTTTTAATGCTGGGAAAAACTGAAGGGTTGTGCAAAAAAGAAAGATTGATTATATTGTATTACTTAAACCATTAATGAGTGATATTTAATGATGTGTTACTATTGCTGAAGTTAGAATTGTGATATTATGCGATAGAGCAGGGAAAAATGGTTGGGGTGGAACGGCTGAGTCTATCTTTTGGGTAATAGATAATGGCCAGAATAAACCAAAAACAGCAGTACAGGCATATTATTTGGAAGTACCCTAAATAAATACAAAAGGAAAGCTAAAAACAAAACTGAGGGTGATAGTTTGTGGCTATTGGTAGGGAACTGCTTTTTTGGAAGCCTTTTCATATTCTGACTTCTAAAATTATATATATGGATTAGTTTGCTTAAAATAACTACAGAATATAATGAAGGGCTTGTAGGGATACACAAAAATAAATACTACTAATCTGCATTTTTAAAGTGTTTATGTATTTGCTGGAACTCTTTGTTTACTTTGCTCTATTAGAATCAACACCACATCAAATATCTTTAGTATAGCCTGAAAGAACAAACAGTGGTTTGGGTTATTAGATCCTTACTGCAGAATGTTTGGCTTTCAGAATTTGTCTGAAGACTTATCAGGTGGTTTCTTTCCTCCTTGATATTCTTCCGATCTGAATAGTCCCATCTGGTTTTCTGTGCAGTCCATTTGCAGCCATACTTGATTAATACCCCAATTGTTAACTTTAGAACACAAGAATGATAATCACTCGTGCCCCTCAAATGAGCTGCGAGGTGATAATTATCCAAGAAAGGTGCCACTATAAATAATCTGTCCCCATTCTGCCAGTGCCCTTGTTTTCTGCTTTTGTTTAGCGTGTGGGAAGATGGTGACTGTGCAAACAAGAACGGGGCTTTATTTTCTTTTAAGTATGCAAAAGTCAAGTTTGTGTCCCATGTTCATCGTAGGAGATAGGAGTGCACTGCCTCAAGCTCTCTAATCTGGTGTGTGTAAGTTTGACAGAATCTTCTATCTGCAGAATTCAGTTTGCCTCCATTCAGTGCTTTTCTGACTGAGAAAATAAACTGTACTAACAGTGATTGTGTAAGACTTAGGTTTGACTTTTGTTTTTTTTTTTTCTTTTCCATTTTGTGGCACTGGGGATTGAACCCAGGGTCTTGTACTTGCTAGGCAAGGTTTGATTAGACACCACTCCCTGTACTTTATTTCCCCAGCTGAGATACTTGGCAGGTCAGGTTCTCTAGAAGGGATGCCTTTCAGATGTAGATTAGGACTCAGCTGTGGTTCAGGTTACTTACAAATGATATGGAGGCCTTTTTTTGGAATGCTGAACCTTGGTCATCTGTTTTAAGAATTGGGTAGACCCCAAAGTTTTTGGAGATCTTCAGGGGAAAGGGAGCCTTATGCAAGAGCAGATCATCATCAAAGATCTCTGAGCCTGATATCTTTATCTGGCGATCAGGGCTTGAAGTGGTAGTAAATAGAATTAAAAAGCAGTTCCCAGGTTCAGTTTCTCTCAATTTCATAAGAACACACCAAAATTTAGTTTTAAGTAAAAAGTAAAACACCTCCAGACCAAAGCCTGCACGGCTTGCTTTTGACTGCTGTGGTGGGGAGCCAGAAGGTGAAGGGGACTCCTTGTTTAACTGGGAAGAGTCTGGTGCCACTCCCAGGTTGGGCCTTTATTTCAGAGGACTGCATTGGGTGCCTGAGTAGAGGGTGAGGGGTACTGGTAGAAAGGCAGAGACTGCACCTCCTGCCCCTGTCTGCACACTGCACACCACGCACGCACACCCAGCGGGAAGGAAGAGGAAGTGTATTCTGGAATAGCTCAAGCAGCTGCCGCCATTGGCCGCTGGGCCTGTCAGTCGCCTGGGCCTGAGGCTGAATAGAGGAAGAAGGAGAACTGAGCTGTTGCCTGGAAGGGAGGTGGAGGGCTGAGCGCGGTTGAGCCAGGGGGCGTGGGGGCTGGGACAGCAGGCCGATTGGCAGGGCGGGGCTGCCATAGATTTGGGCACTTCTCTTAATCATCGCTCTTCTGATTCAGGGTGGCATTGTGTGTCCAGGTGCTGTGCTGTGCCCGAGTAGTACCAGAAGAGAGCGAGGCTGAACCCAGAGCGCTGGGTTGCTTCAGCTGGGAAGACTTCCTTCCCCCCTGCTCCAGGCTGCTGAGCACTGAGCAGCGCTCAGAATGGAAGCCATCGCCAAATATGACTTCAAAGCTACTGCAGACGATGAGCTGAGCTTCAAAAGGGGGGACATCCTTAAGGTAAGTGTTGATGCCCAGTGCAGTCAGTGCTCAGATCCCTTCTCCTTGTGCTCAGCTCCTTTCTTTCACCCTGAAAACAAACACAAAGAAGCTGTGCTTTTGCAGTTTTAACATTTGCCATCGATTTATCTGGATAGCTTGCGATAGATAGCGAGTAGAATAAATGAGAATTAAGAGTTGGTGTGATGTGTGGTCTTTAACTGCCTTTGTGTGAATGCCCTGAGGATTTCTGTTGGTACTGGTAGTATTCTGGAAAAAGACAAAGTAATATGATCGTAGAAAGGAAGGATATGAGAAGATTGATTTACCTTGTAAAGTTTTATTCAAAAAACTCAGATTTTTTTAAGCCCAAAACTTGAAGTATTTATGTAAAAGCATTCCATTAGTCTTATATGGCCAAAAGATTTTGCATTCTGTAATATGAATCTAGTAGGTTAGAAATTAATTTTCTCAGTTTAGAGAGGCTAGAAGTATATGCTGAAACTTTTTTTTTATTCTTTGTGAAAAAAAACTAATGGAGTTCTAAATAATAAAGTCAACTTGCTACTGTGCAAGTTGGTTTTGAATTTCTTAAAAGTGCCTTGAGCAATTATTATTATTAAAATCTAATTGCACAAAAACTGTCAGTTTAGAAATAAGGTTCTTCATGGTTTGCAGCTATTTTGAGCCCCACCATTTAGACAGCATTTGGTCCCCACCTGGCACATGTTAATTACGTTGTTTACCCAGTTGACTAGAGCGGTTTGCCCTTTTGGATATGTAATTTATTTTACAGGGTTAATGTTATCAAAGTGAGGAAAAGCTGAAGTTTACGTTTCGCCCTGATAACACAAAGAAGCTGTGCTTGTGTAGTTTAACATTTGCCTTCAGGTTTTATCGGAATAGCTTGCGATAGAATAGATAGTAGAATAAATGAGAATGAAGAGAGTTGGTGTGATGTGTGTCTTTAACTGAGTTTGTGTGAATGCCCCGAGGATTTCTGTTTGTTTGTTGATACTGGTATTATTTCAGGAAAACGGAATACTTAACATGTGTTCAAAGTAATATGTGTTTACAGTATTCATTGTGCCTCAGGTTTTGGCATTCTTTCCTCTGTTTCTTAGTCCAGATTGTTGGAACTTGCCAGCCATTTGTTTACTACCCCTGAATGAAATTCTAAGAATTTATAAAGGAAGAAAGTGAAAATGTGATTTATAGGAAAAATCATATAGACGGAATTGTGGGTTTTGTTTTAGTTATGTGTCCCTACTGATAGGTATTCTACCCTCAGCACTGCAGCTATGAGATCGACTCTGAAATTACCTGCACAGTTGTTTCTTAATGTTAGAAATATAGGTTGAACTTCATTAGATGGTGATACTGAGAAGCCCTTAAGGAAGAAGAAAGCTTTGTTGTGACACAAAGTTCTTTGAGGTATCCATGGAGTCAGCACTGTTTGTCAGAAAGTGTGTAGACAGAACCAGCCGTAGGCTTTAGGAAGACATGAGTCTTCTGTCTCTGATTTCTTAGACAGCTAGAATGCAGAGCTACTGACTGACTGTCATTGTCATACAGAGATAATCTGATACTTTTGTGGGTGATTACTGTGTTCAGCAGACAACCCACTTGTGATATCATATAATAAGACTGACTCCTCAAGTACCTACACTTGTAGCCTGCACAAAACCCTTTTGAGCAGGGTTTTTTTGTTGTTTTGTTTTTGTTTGTTTTTCAGTATATAGGCTTCTCCAGCAGACTTACCCTAGATACTTGGACCTGAAAGCTAGTAGTTCATATTGTCCTCTAAGTCTATCCCATTGCATATTTAGCACTAAATCAAATTAAAACAAAACTTGGTCCTTCATTACTGTCTCTGAAGTTTGTCCTAGACGTAGACAATGAACATTTGGTAAGTTCTTTGTCTTAAATTAGTCAGCTCTGGAACCAGTGTAAAGCTTTATTTTATCCCATTATCAGGAAATATGATATTGTGTAACTTTTGCCTCAGAAAGTTTTCTGATGGGGGAGAAAATGAAGCAGAGCACTCACCTTTACTTGCAGATTTTCCTTGAGGAGAGAGAAAAATACTTATACTTAGTTCTTTCCAGTTTGGTAGATAATGGGGATATGAAATCATAATGCCATTATTGCTTTTGAATGATGACCACTAGCTGTTAGTAATCTTGCAGCTTTATGCAAAAAAAAAAAAAAAAGACTATGTTGGTACATAGTCTCATAACTGTGAAACAACTGAATGAAGAGGAGAGATATGGCTTTGTCTTAAGAGCTGTTAGTAAAAAATTAAACAAACAAAAACTTTATTTTGCAATACTAGGGTTTGAACTCAGCCTGCTTGCTAGGCAGATGCTCTACCACTTGAGCCATGCCCCCAATCCTTTTTGCTTTTTCTTTTTTTTGGTTATTTTTCTAATAGGGTCTCAAGTTTATTCCAGGCTGGCCTAGACTGTGATCCTCCTGTTTACACTTCCCAAGTAAGTGGAATGACAGGTGTGTGCCACCATACCCAGCTATTTTTATTGGTTCAGATGGGGGTCTCTTGAACAAACTCTTTGCCTGGCTGACTGGCTTGAATGTTGATCCTCTAGATCTCCACTTCCTGAGTAGCTAGAATTACAGGCTTGAGACACTGCACACAGCTCGTTTGATTTTTTTTTTTTTTTTTTTTTTTGGTGGTATTGGGTCTTGAACTGAGCGCCTACACCTTGAGTTGCTCCACCAGCCCTTTTTTATGATTTTTTGAGATTGGGTTTCAAGAACTATTTGGTTGGGCTGGCTTCAAACCTCGATCCTCCTGACCTCTGCCTCCTGAGTAGCTAGGATTATAGGTGTGAGCCATTGGTGCCCAGCTTAGTTCATTTGATTCTTTAAGGAGTAAACCAACTTCATTTGACTGGGTTTGTTGTCATTTGATAACTCTTTAGAATGTTAGTTAGCCCAAACATGTTTACAAGTAGTTGGGATAACATTGAACAATTTAACTTTGAAGTAGGCATATATTTGCTCAGAGTGATAGAGAAGTCTCACTATGTTATCCAAGCTATCTTACTACGTTATGGGCTTATGGGCTGGGGGGTGTGACTCTAGAAGCAGAAGTGCCTGCCTGGCAAGCACAAGGCCCTAAGTTCAAACCCTAGTACCACCAAAACAATACAAAACAAAAAAAGGTCAAATATGTGGGCTCAAGTGATCCTCTTGCCTCAGCTCCAGAGTAGCTAGGACTATAGGCATGTACCACCATACCTGGTTGCCCTACCTTGATAAGAAAACATGTGCATATGGGTATTGAATACATTTCATTTCAGGATAGTGAAATAGGGGCTTTGCCCTCTACCTCTGACTAGAGTTTAGAAGGGTTACATCCTCTTGCTATCTTTCAGCTCCTGGTTAACTTTTAGTTAATGTTGACTTCCATCTAATAGACCCTTTCCTTACATTCTTTGTACATACTGACCTACTACTCCTACCTTGAGAAAAGAGGAAAATAAAAAGCACTTTAGGAAGCCTAAAACAGAACTGAATGCTTCAATGTATGTCTTTGTTACCTTCTTTGTTATATAAACTTGTGTTTTTCTTGGTATGGGATATGGGAGAGCACTGGGGCTTAAAAATGGAAGGACTTGTCAGGCGCTGGTGACTCACATCTGTAAGCCTAGCTACTTAGGAGGCAGAGATCAGGAGGATCGCAGTTTGAAGCCAGCCTGGGCAAATAGTTTGTGAGACCCTATCTCGAAAAACTCTTCCCAGAAATAGGGCTGGTGGAGTGGCCCAAGGTGAAGGCCCTGAGTTCAAGCCCCAGTACTACAAAAAGAAAAAAATGGAAGAACTTTTGTTTCAGGCTTCAGGCCTTGCATGGTGAAATGCACTTAAGTTCTCCATCATCGTTGTGTAGACTTAAGTTAGTGTCCAATATTCTCTACTGACAAGTCCTTGACTAAGAGGCTGGGAGTATAGTGACAGAACACTTGTGGGTTCCATTTCTAGAACCCTCTCCTCCAAAAAAAAAAAAAGCACCCCTCTATAGTCTTCCATTGGTCGCATAAAACTGCCTGAGTTTACCTTGGAGTTGCAGCTGCCATTTATACATACTTCAGATAGTGCTGCACAGGAATTCAAAGGCCATTTTACACTTGTAAACCTGTACTTTCTCCAGCATAGAGCTGGCTTCTTGCTTGCTTCAGCTCTGTAGGGAACCAGTTGTGCTGGTGTCATCTCTGGTTCACTATCTCTACCGTCTTCCTGAACTACTTGAGAAATAGGTCTTTTGCTCACCTTCAGCTCTTGGTAATGTCCTCCTGTGTCTGTGCTGCTCAGTCTATTTCAGTGTTACAACGAGCACCTCCTTGAACCAGATTCTGGGATAGGTTGCTTTAAGAGTTGGGGAATAAATGTAAGATGCACTTTCTCCCGTCAGTAGCTCTAAAAGCAAGTAAGAGAAGTGAGTAAGATTAATATGTGAAACAGTACAAAACAGTATATTAACTTATAGGAGTTTTATAATGTGAAAAAAACCTTTTAAAATATCTTAAACTTATTAGTGTACAGATGAAAGAAGTGGTCTTTCAAAGGGATTAAATGATCTACCCAAGATCATGTAATCATTCTTAGTAGTAAACTGGTATTTGTGGTATGCTAGAGCTGTGTTTAGCTGGAACTGCTGAAGTAATTGAGGAAGCCAGTGTCAGTGGCTCACACTTGTAATCCTATCTACTTGGACGGCTGAGACTGCAGCCTCATAGTTCATGAGACCCCATCCCCAAAATAACCAGAGCAAAATAAACCGCAGGTGTGGTAAAGCAGTAAGTAGTGTGCCTGCTTTAGAAGTGTGGTCTCAAATCCAAGTCTCACTCAAAAAAAAAAAAAAAAAGACTAATTCAGGAAAGGAAGAGACTGGTAAGAGCTGACATCAGAAAAAGGTGTGTGCAAGAGGTGAGATTTGAACTATACCTTGTGAGATGAACAGGATAGGGCTAGGTGAAGAGAAGGGAAAGTATTCAAAGGGG